AGTAAGTGTTCTATCTATATTTTATTATTTATATTTTGTGTTTAAAAAATACGACTTATTGTAAATAGCTGAAGTTAGGTTATGGTCATATACTTTGTGTGTACGTCATATTATTGTAAGTAGCTGAAGTTAGGTTATGGTCATATATTTTGTGTGTACGTCATATTATTCCCAAACTAGTATGAAATATTTTTACTAATGGTCATTAAATGATCTTCTAAATACTTGTATGCCTCCAAAGATGCAGTTATATTTTGTTTATGCTTACAACAAATGTAAATTTTTCAAACAAGCTGTCTTCTAAGAAATACGGGTTTCGGTCGTACGGGTACTTGAAAGATTCCGGTAAAGTAAAACAGACTAAGCTGGACTGGACGGTTTTATAATGGTTCAGTGTGTGTGTAACAAAAACACTCTATTGGTGCTTTCTATCTTTTTTTTTTTACCGTAAAACCACAATAGTTAGTGTCTTGTGCCTCAGTAGTTTATTTGCCTTTATGAATATTGTTTTTCTATATGAGCGCCATGTGTTGGAAGATTAATCGCACTTTGAAACCAATGTTCTAGGTCTCGTGCTGTATTTGGAACTATCTCCTCCATTGTCGATCGTGCTCCGCCACAGTCATGGTTACACACTGTTGCCCGACACTGCAATTTTCATTATAACAAGCTTCTGTGAAGGACGGTGTGGCCAATCTTAGGTCGACACATCTGGGCACCCCAAACCCCACCCCCACCCACACACACATACATACACACACTGTACATGGGCACTGGGTTCCAGAAGTCATTCTAGGTGTGTGATCATGATGTGACTTTACGGGTATGTCGAGAAGGAAATATCGTGAACATCAGTTTCATTTTTCATGGCTCAGAGAAACGTTGCTCTGGACTTCGATGTGTGAATTGACAGTTGATCCTGACGTAGGCATACCTTCTTCGCGTTCTTGCCATACAGGTACAGAAACTTCGTGTCTCCTAAATGGTATCAGTAGGTTCGCCTGCAAGTACCTTGAGGTTACCTTTACCTTACGTACACGTTTTTGCATTTTGAATTTCCCAACATCCATAAATCTCGACCTTGTTGTAAATTTCTTACCACCCCTGTGGGTGGTATCAAGTCGCCTTTTCTTGTGGCATTCCTTCAATTACACCCAAATCTTGTCCAATATCACAACAAACTTCCATCTTTCATATGCAAAGTACCCACTCTACCACCTCCCGATAGCTTATCGGTAAGTATGAGGACTTATAAAGATCGCTAAAAATCTGGTTTCCTTGCCCACGATGGCCAGATCACAGATAGACCATAGTGTAACTTTGCGCTTAAGAACAAATAATAAAACAAACTAATATGTAGAACATCTTGTTTCAATAATTGTTTTTAGTATTTATTTTTCTCGCTAATGTGTCTGTGGGGCAGGTAGTACCTATTACTATTTTTATCTAACGGCATGATTTCCAAACGTTATCTTGTGTATAATTTTTTGGAATATGACAACTTGTTAGTAATTATACTGTGGCTGAATTATTTCCTGGACAAACAGTCTACGAATTTTCAAAACAGTTATAGCACTTCCGCTTCTTGTGAGGTGCTGTTTAGTTCCTTATAAATTGTGATATATGTGCGCTGGTCTTTCCTTGCTTATGATTTTCACTATACAAATACACTTTCACATCTTCCAGCCATACGGCTCTCAGTTATACGTCGCGATATTGCGTTGTCGAATGGTTGGAAATTCACCTTAAACTAAATAATATGTAGGCGCTCATTTCACCAGTGGCGCATCAGTAGCATCACTCAGGTATTGATAACGCATTACATTGTCATTACACATCTTTCATACTCAAACGAACTACTTGCGATGGGGTATGAGATTAGGTTGTTTAATAATACACGACTGGAAAAACCGGTATAATGTGTTCTTTGTATTGAAGTACTTCTTTTTTAAATGAGAAAGATAATTTGCATATCAATCAAAAGCGGCGTGAGTGCTGTTAATTTTTGTTTTGTTTTTTCTAGAAGTCTTTAAAACGCTTCATATGTAAAATATAATATTGGAGGCCTGTTTAGAATATTTTTCAAACAAGTAAACCAGATTTAATTAAGAGTTAATATCTATTTATTATTGATTTCTTGCAGGATTTACTCAAGGGGATGTTGGATTAGCAATGGGTAAACTCTATGGGAACGACTTCAGTCAAACTACAATCTCTCGATTCGAAGCCCTCAACCTTAGCTTTAAGAACATGTGTAAACTCAAACCACTTCTTCAGAAATGGCTCGAAAATTCTGATAAGTCTTTTAGTAACGATCCTATGCCTGTTACAAATGTTCATATCGTTCCAGAAACAATATCACGGCGGCGAAAGAAACGAACCAGCATTGACACGAGTGTAAGATTTGCCCTAGAAAATGCTTTTAAGGAGAAACCAAAACCTACCTCAGAGGATATTTCTCAGTTAGCTGACTCGTTGTCTTTGCAGAGAGAGGTTGTTAGGGTATGGTTTTGTAATAGGAGACAAAAAGAAAAGAGAATTAATCCTTCAATACCAACAACAATGTCGTCTCCTGTAACCACAACTATCCCTGATGCTGCTGACAGCATTTCTAATTCTCCAGGCCATTTGCCGACTACAAATACACTAGTTAATACAGTTCCTTCGGTCTCTGACGTCATCACTTTCCCAGCTACATCATTTTTTCCAAGTTCTTAATGCGTCAATCAAGAAGTCTTTGCACATATTGAGATAATAGAAGAATGTTGCACTTAAGTGAGAATTAAAAATAAGAATACTCAATTCGTTAACTAAACGTTGTGCTGAATCTGCATAACAATGTTTTTAACGAACTAAAGCTGTGTTTACAGCTTCAAAAACAGCTTTAAATCCTTGAAAATCATCAAATAACGACGCTTGAAACGTTCAATTAGAATGGTAAGAAAAGTTATAATTGTGAGAGAAAATTAACCATCTTATAAATAAATATCATGTCTTTGACCTAAATAGTTCTTTACCTCTACACAAGTTTTATTGTCCTAAATATTCAAGTGTTCAAAAACGTATATATATATATACGAAATAAGAAGTGTTGTTTATAGAAGACTCAGGGATATGGTATTTTCCTCAATTAGTAGTAGTCAATTAAAACTTTTATATACTGATATAACCCATATACATACATTTATATATATGTATATATATATATTCGTTATTTTTTCCTGTGTCTCATGACCAAATAATCTCAATTAAAACCGTAAACTTTTGTTCAAAGACTATTCAATTCTGTGTTAAAACTTTCTGGATTCAAAGTTTTTGGACGAAAATAGAATATTGGTGTTCAGTAATTCGGTTAAATGTGTTTCAAATAAAACTCAGCTCTTGTTTTATATAAGTCGTTTTCATTTAGAATGGTAGAATTAAAACAAAACCTACCTCAGAGGATATTTCTCAGTTAGCTAACTCGTTGTCTTTCCAGAGAGAGGTTGTTAGGGTATGGTTTTGTAACATTTAGAATGGTAGAATTAAAACAAAACCTACCTCAGAGGATATTTCTCAGTTAGCTAACTCGTTGTCTTTCCAGAGAGAGGTTGTTAGGGTATGGTTTTGTAACATTTAGAATGGTAGAATTAAATGAATACCAAACGGATATTTCTAAATGTGTGTGTGTGCACAGAAATGTTATATAAACGTTATTATAATAGAATGATCTAAATCACTAGAAACATATAATAAGGCATTTGGAGTTTCACATATAAATCTTTAGAATGCCCTATGTTTTTGTTGTTGTTGATTTTTAATATTTTTTCAATATCAAGATCTTTAGTACCATGAAGTAGTTTTAGTGACTATTCTTAAGTACTGTTAGTTAACATCATAATAAATTTAATTTGTTACAGTTTGATCAAATTAAAAATAAGTATATTTGATTATAAACCACATTTACTGTGAGTTTATGTATATATATGTTATATGTAAGCTTTACTGAACAAGTATTCAAATATATGTCAAAACTGGAATCAATTCTGACGATTTATCCCCGTTTCATATGATAACATTAACCTTTAGGTTAAACGTTTTGTGTTAACCATTTTTTTACATTGAACACATGATAAATGGCCAGGTTATATATATTTTTGTCCTGGAAGAATGTGTATATTGTTCAGGATTCTAAAAGTGTCTTTATATGAACTTTTTCATATCATTAATTATATTTTTCTTCAGTCTAAACTCATATCTGCTCCTTTTACATCATTATAACATCAGTCTCTTTGTATGAAAATCGTTCAGTGCTTTCCAATATCCATGAATCAGGGAAAAAATAACTGTCAATATCATAATAGGACAATTTCAAAAATATTATTTGATAACTGTTTTACCGATGTGTTTCTCATGTTGTTCTTTTACAGAAAATGTATACGAGTTAAAACACTTTGGGAAAAGGTATTACACTCGTACATTAACTGAAAAATACTGTTGTCTCTCCTTTCTTTTACATATTAATTGTCTTGAAAACAAATAATTTTCTTTTGTTATTATTTACCCCTATGTTGTTTGTTCGAAGTGAGAAGCAAGTATTTTTTAAATAAAAGTTAAAAGTACTTTACGTTTTGTGTAAATACAGTTACTATACGATATGTAGCTATTTCAAATTAACGATATACTCTGAGCTATATGAACCTTTTCAGAGTAATCTATCCGAAACTAGTAAATAATGTCCTCAAGAAAAAAAAATCACGTTACTATGAAATACAAGGAGTTAATCTAACTTTATATGCTTGTATAGTTGCATGGCACTTTGATGTACTAGGTTCATTGCGAATTCCCAACCATTTAACAGTGCAGTGATGCGATAGATACAGTTATGATTGCAGATTTGTGTCACATAGTGAGATTTTTGAACAATGTAATCAAAGGACATGATATTTTGAATAAAAATGTCTTCAACATTTTGCCATGGAAATGAAAGGATTCGTAACGTATAAGTCAGTATCTGGTTCTAAAACCACTTCCCAACACAATCGAAAGATTTGCTCTCATCCAACCCCCGAAAAAACATTGTAATGAATTTCAGTACATATCATCTGCTGTGAACAAAACGATAAACAGGGCTTTGAAGATGACGAAGACATACAAGCTGTCCCGCGATGGGTCAACGGTAAGTTTACGGACTTGATATGCTAAAATCCGGGGTTCAATTCTTTGCGGTGGACACAACAGATAACCCAACCAACGTGGCTTTGATCTAAAACAAACAACAACAACAACTTCGAAGCTTCCAGCCACGACTCGAAATCAAAGACAGTTTCATGAGAAAGATAATAGAATATTCTACATTCATAGCTATTGCATTCCACAACATATTAGGTCGTCAAGAAATTAATGTCATTCTTTTAGATGAAAAAACCCCAACAACTTATATATCAAAACAAAACATTTATTAAATGAAATAGTATTCATTCTAATCGATGATGCTTTTCCATCTTGCAATTTGGTCAGGCATGGCCAGGTGGTTCGGGCGTTCGACTCGCAATCTGAGGGTCGCGGGTTCGAATCCCCGTCACACCAAACATGCTCGCCCTTTCAGCCGTGGGGGCGTTATAATGTGACGGACAATCCAACTATTCGTTGGCAAAAGAGTAGCCCAAGAGTTGGCGGTGGGTGGTGATGACTAGCTGCTTTTCCTGTAGTCTTACACTGCTAAATTAGGGATGGCTGGCGCAGATAGCCCTCGTGTAGCTTTGTGCGAAATTGAAAACAAACAAACCATCTTACAATTAGGTTGTTAATGCTCTGATTAAAAAAATCACTTGGCTTTGAAGCAAAAAACATGTCGATTTCCTCTTTAACACCTTCTATATTTGCATACGTTTTCCCATTAAGATGCTGTTGCAGCGAACGAAGAAGATGGTAATCTGATGGTGCCATATCGGGAGAATATGGTGGGTGGGGGAGAACTTCCCAACCCAACTCCATAATCTTGTGTTGCGTCAAACGTGCCACATGTGAACGTGCATTGTCGTGGAGAAGAACAACACCTTTCCGACTGATGAGTGAATAGCGTTTCTGGTGAAGGGCTTGATTTAAACGTTCCAGTTGCTGACTATATATATCTCTGCATTGATAGTTCGCTGTGGATTGAGGAGTTCGAAATTAATTACTCCTTTGATGTCCCACTAAATGCTAAGCATCACTTTCTGCGGATGGAGTCCAGGTTTTGGGGTTGGAAGTGGTTTTTGTCTAGGATTAAGCCATTGTTTTTGCCGTTTAATATTTGCACAAAGAATCCATATTTCATCACCGGTAACAATTCTGTCCAAAAATGGTTCACGCGCATTACGCGCCAAAAGAGACGAAGCA